CCTTGGGCAACACACATTGCAGGATCGTGAGAGAGGTGGCGGTGGTGGCGGTGGTGGCGGTGGTGGCGGTGGTGGTGGCGGTTTGGGGAGGCATTCATCCAGCTATGGATCGACCATGGCCGACGATGGTGAGTGAGTGAGCTGTGGGTGCCACTTACTGTCCACCTTGAGCCGCTCGATGATGGAGTACTTTCCTCTGCACAGCGTCCTGAGAAGCAAGGAAATGCAGGAGGCCCGGTCAGCACCCTCTCCTCAGTCGCCAAATCAACGGGTTAGAGGCGCAGCCCCGCAATTCCCTGCTTCTGCCGCTGCTGGTGGAAGGGCCACCGCTAGAGGGAGCTAGAGAGGAAGACCACCTTGGCCTACTCTTCCACGCTGGTCGCAAGTCTCAGAAGACGGGGGAGTGCCAGGGTTCAGCGAGCGGATCGTCGTTTCCCATTCGTACGCCGTTGCACGTCAAAAGGGGTTTCCCCACGTGACCCCGCAGCCGCTCGTGGCCGCTACGCTCAGCAGGAGCAACGAGCCCGTCATTGCTCGGGTCTGGCGCTGCGACAGTCGTGAAAACGCCCGCCGATAACAACACCTGCATTTGATATAGCGGCATGATTCATTGCCAACTGCATCCCACAGCGGTGTAAATTGCCTATACGGGACTCTTCTTCTACTTACGAACATTCGACTTGCCAACTTTCAGAGATAAGAACAAACATGTCCGTGTGTCCAGCTGCCTGTTTGGACCGAGAGTCGTAAGTTCAACTGCAGCGCAATAGATGGCGGCGGTGGCATCTACATCTGCAGAACGTGAAGAACCAGTGGCATCTACATCTGCACAACGTGAAGAACCAGTGGCATCTACATCTACAGAACGTGAAGAACCAGTGGCATCTACATCTACAGAACGTGAAGAACCAGTGGCATCTACATCTACAGAACGTGAAGAACCAGTGGCATCTACATCTACAGAACGTGAAGAACCAGTGGCATCTACATCTACAGAACGTGAAGAACCAGTGGCATCTACATCTACAGAACATGAAGAACCAGTGGCGTCTACATCTACAGAACGTGAAGAACCAGTGGCATCTACATCTACAGGAGATTATACAACTTTGAGAGCCATTCCGCGTGTTTAGTGTACACGCCGTTCAACGTATTTGGAATCGACAGGAGTAAAGTTGGCACTTACGAACAAATCGACTTACGAATAGTACCTCTGGAAACTAACTCGTTCGTAATTAGAGGGGTCCCCAAATACAAGGACCAAACCAATACACACGATTGGCTTTGTACGGCGTGAAACAAGCCCCACACACACGCATGTACACACACGCGCACGCATATGCACACACACCAAGCAAATGAAAACCCCTACTGCTACTACTACCGCTACTCCCGAGCAAAATCAAAAGCAACGAATAAATAAATCAAGACAGGGCACCGAAACAAGGAGCACAAACAACGACAGCAAACTCTTCATATTCTGAGGTTTTTTCGGTAAAGTCACGTAGGTAAAAAATTTAAATTAATAAAAGTTAAACAAAAATAACAGAAAAATCACGACGTTTCGGAGGCAACACAAGCTGTATCATGTGCTGTGACTTCCTTGTGTTGCCTCCGAAACGTCGTGATTTTTATTTTATTTATATTTTACTTTTATTAATTTGAATTTGAATTTTTTACCTACGTGACTTTACCGAAAAAACCTAAGAATATGAATACTTGCAGTCACGAAAGCTTCAAATCTAGAATTAACGACAGCAAAGTGATCGCAGCGATGGGACAAGCCCCAATCGCTCCGTTAGGTGACGCTCGTGCCCTGCTTGGGAACCAAGAGGCAAGCCGTGCCCCTGCCATACCAAGCACATTTATACTGGAGGAGGAATCCGACGGTCCGCAAAGCTCTTCCATTCATTGGCTACCACATTCTGATAAGCTCCTCCCCCCCTCTCCTCCCCCCTTAATTTGTATTTAAGAGCTTGCATCTTGAATCCCTGCCTCACTTGATGCAGCAAATCTGGCTGTGACGGTCCCACCTGATGACGGAGACTTGTGTTGCCTCCGAAAACGTCGTGATTTTATTGTTTTATTTTATTAATTTCAATTAAATTTTTTACCTACGTGACTTTACCGAAAGAACTACGAGTATGAATCTTTGTCACCCATGCCCAGTGGGGGCCACGGGGGTTTCAGACCATTACAGGAACGGCGCGGCACGGTTTCGGCTCCGGTCTTTATCGACGATCGCCCCGCCCCCGCCCCCCCCCGCCCCCCCTGACCTGTAGTTGAAATGCAGCACGGCCTGGATGGCGCTGCCCCCTCCCGTCGAGATGTCGCCCTCGAAGCCGGGCAGCAACGGCACCACCACGTAGACGCGGAAGCGCCGGCCATCCCTGCGCACGCACGCACGGAGAGTCGGGTTGAGCGAGAAGGGATCGGTGGTGGTGGCACTGGGACTCTGCGGTGGTCACCATTCACTGGGGTCATCTTAAAAATACAAAAACTACGAACTATTTTACCAGGTAAGGGTCCACTGAGCTGCGCAACTCTTTTTCAGAAGCGACCCGTCCATTGCAAATGATAGCTCCACGAAGTGACTCGACACTTTAAATGTGGAGGGGAAAAACCGGAGGACCCGGAGGGAAACCCACATGACCACGGGCAGAGAGCGACACGCAAACTCCAAATACACAGCAGGCGTCGGGGTCGAGATCGAACCCACGACCTCCTGTATACCAGGCGAGGTGGTTAACATCTCGTTACCGTGGCACCCATCATCTACCATCAACGTCAACATCCACCCTCCACATCACCTCGACCATCCACATCGATATCATCACCCACCTCGAACATCCACATCACCAACATCACCAACATCACAATTTCTCACCGCCATCATCCGCATCAACATCACCATCACCTGCACCGTCCACAGTAACATCGCCACCACCTCCACCATCCACATCACCACCACCTCCACCATCCACATCCACATCATCAACCTCCATCACCATCACCGAGAGAGGTCAAGTCACCTGTGAGCCTCCAGGATTTTGTCGACGATGGCGTCTCCGATGCCGTTCCACACGATGCGGTTGTCCGTGCAGCTGATGAAGAACTGGTTCTGTGTTGCGGGGCCACGGAGGAGAATCAGAAAAGCAGGCAAAGGCGCAGCCCTGCAACTGCTTGCCACGTCCCAACTGCTGGCGGCAGGGGCCGTCTAGAGGGTATTTTGGCCTATTCACTTTAAGATGTTTTTGTGTTTTTGTTTGTTGCGGTTGCACCTGATTCAAGAACCGAATGGCTCACAGGGCTATACCTAATACATGAACTTGAACTACTCTTCCGCGCCCCCAAGACGCGTGGGGAGAGGTGGGCGCGTATCCCCGCACCTCACCCCAATGCAGAAAACCGCCCTCCCATCGGCTCCACGCATTTCTCCCCGATCACAACTCCGCGCGGGGAGTGGCCACTTCCGCCTCTGCCGATCGGCCGACTGCGGCGAGTGCACCGATTTGCATGCCGCAGTTGCACCGCCTACACCCTGGGCGGGGTTGGGGGGGGTGGGTGTAGCGGGCGGGGGGTGGGGGGCAGAGAGCCGCACCTCGATGTAGATGTAGTGGCGGCTCCCGCGGATGGCCTCCACGTACGCCTTGTGAATGGACTCCTCGTGCTTCTTGATTCCCACCGACCAATCGGAGGCCGACCTCAGCACCTGTCGGCACGCGCAGCAGCGGCCGGTGAACCCCTCGCGGTGCGCCCAGCCGCAGAGATACCCTGTGGCTCGGAAGAGGCTCAACGGGGAACACGCGGAACCCCCTCGCCCCCCTCATCGCAAGGTTCCACCGACGCAGAGTGGGACTGGGAGGGGCGGGGATGGATGGGGAGGGGAAGGGAGGGGAAGGGAGGGGCAAGGAGGAGGGGGAGTGCCAGAGAGTGATGGGGGGAGAGTTTGGGAGGAATGGGGGAGGGGCTGGGAGGGCTCAGGGAGGGGCAGGGAGGGGCAAGGAGGGGGGGCAGGGAGCGATGTAGAGGGACGGGGAGGGCCCAGGGAGGGATGGGGGAGGGGCAGGGAGGGGCAGGGAGGGGGGGCCAAGAAGCGATGGAGAGGGACGGCCCAGGGAGGCGTGAGGAGTGGAGGGGAGGGGCAGCCACACCTGCACGTTGGCGGCGACGCAGCCCGTGACGACGTAGGGAATGCGGTCGGCCATGGAGAGCGACTTGGGCAGTAGTAAGGGGAAGTGCTCGATGGACTTCTTCTTCTTGACCGTCTGCACGGGGGCGAGAGACGGTGAGAGACGAGGTCCCACCTCGTCGCCAAACGACGCATGTGCCGCTCGCAAGCAAACGCAGAACTTGGCGATCATCGTTGAAAGACCACCCCATCCGCCCGTCGATCCACTGCTGGATGAAAGCTTCCCCGTAGGCTTTCGAACACCACCGCGTCGTTGACGGACGGAGAGAGAAATAGAGAGGGAGGACTGCACGACGCCCGGGGGGGGGGGGGGGGGGGGGCCCTCGACCTTTGCTCGTTCCTTTGCGCCGAGTGAAACCCGCGGCTGTTGAGACCCCACCACGCGCTCTCTTTGTGTTGCGACGGGGGCCTTGTCGTCGTCACTCACCGGTTGGACTCCACGGAGAGAGGGAGTGACGGAAGAGAAAGAGAAAGGGAGTTGCACGACGGGGTAACGGTCCACCCGGTTTTACCGTTGGCGGGACACCTGAAGTGCGCGGCAGCCACGTAAGCACGCAACTAGACGCGCGTAATAGTCGCTGACAACAGAATGTGCTTGGCGCGATGGCTAGACGGTGCTGGTGGTGGTGGCGGTGATGGTGGTGGCGGCGGTGGTGACCGCGAATCGGCAGTGCCACGAAACGTCGCACGACAGGAGGCGCCACGATAATGGCGCTGCTCGTTTTTTGTTTCGTGAGAGAATTTATCGCTGATGAACTCACGCAGACGCCCGGTCACTATCACTACCACCAGCACTGCCGCCACCATCACCACCACCACCACCACCACTACCGCCACCATCACCACCACCGCAGCCACCACCACCGCCACCACCACTACCACTACCGCCACCGCCACCAACCACCAGTGCCGCTACCATCACCATTACTGCCACCACTGTCGCCACCACCACCCACCACCGCCAGCACCACCGCCACCACCACCACCACCACCGCCGCCGCCACTCACCATGGCGAAGTTCCACCGCTGGATGAAGTGTCTCGCAACGTCCCGGGCCGCGTGGCCGTGCACCACGGCGCCGATGTCGTGCCACGGCATGCGCGGCGTCGTGTAGCGGTCGATGAAGTCTGCGCCGGGCGGGGAACAGCGCCGACCGCGGTTTTAGTTTCGGCGAGAGCGGGCGAGGCCACGGCCCTTCCCCTTGCGGCTTGCGGCCAACTCCTCACACCTTGCCCCCCACCCCCCTCCCGGGAAAATACTTCCACAACCCCGAGCCTAAGAAGGCAGGCCGACAAAAATCCCCAACTACGTACGGTGAAAAAGAAGTTCAACATACATACACACATGCAGAACAACAAGAATGCCAAGGCACATCCCTCGTCCTACAATGGAGGCTATGGCCCCTCAATAACAATTACTAATTCAGCTAGGAATAGCGCATCGAGTCCGAAGACTCTTTTTCAGGAGGGTCCTGCAATGGGATGTTTGGCCAACACAAATTATATGTAGATTTTTTTAAAATTCAGCTACGGGAGGAAACCGGCAAAATCCAGAGGAGACCAGCGCAGTAAGGGGGGGGGGGGGGGGAGATGGAACACACAAACTCCACACTGAGAGGCGCCCCGGTCAGGAGTCGAACCCAGGGCCCTTCCTGCGTCACCGCCACGTGGGGCGGCCAAGGTGGAGTTGGGGGGGGGCCTCACCATCGAAGGGCTTCTCCAGCTGCACCCAGTCCTTGAGCACGAAGTTGCAGTAGTCCTTGCCGTGCCAGAAGCGCGCCTCGCCAAACAACTCCACGCTCGTCCTCTTTGTCGAGCCGTAGTCTACGCCGCACGCCGGGACACCACACACACACCGCATGGACACACACCGAGGACAAGCACATTGCACGGGCACACACCGAGGAGACAAGCACATCATACACCGCACAGGCACACCAAATAGGGACACCGGGGACACGTTCACCATCGTCGTCGTCGCCCGTCATCAGAAAACGCGTGGGCGACAACCCCCCCACCCCACCCCACTTACACTCAACCCCTACCACTCCCCTTCCCATCGTGCCGACCAGAAGCTGAACACCAATTTTTTTAGAACCGCTTGGTGTTGTATCTTAGTGGTGTTGTGTCTTAGTGGTGTTGTGTCTTAGTGGTGTTGTGTTTTAGTGGTGTTTTCCTTCCCCCGCACCTCCAATGAGCCGCGGTGGGCTACCTATGGTGCGAAAGAGTCCAACGTGCATACAACAGCGCGCACACAAGCGTGCGCGTTCCGCAGCGTTTGCCGGAGGGCCTCGTGGAAGGCCGACGCCGGCGTTGTGACCATCGCGACGCCGGCCATCGCCCGACAACCTCGGCGCCGTGCCGAGTGGGGGTGAGAAGCTGGGGCGGGAGAGGCGGGGGGGGGCGGCACTCACCCTCACGGATGTGCATCTTGTGCATGCGCAGGGGATACTTGGGCTTGTCGAGCCACCGCTGCTTCAGCATGCTCCTCCAGCCTGCGCGGCGGACACAGCGGCACGATGTCATCGCCGTGGCCGATGAGGCTTGTGTCAACAACAACAATGATGATGATGACGACGCAGTATGTAGTGCGCGCAATAAGGCGCGCTTAGAAACTAGGCGAGAGAGGTCGTAGGGCCTTCACAGAAGGTGACGGGGCCTCTAAGCGTCTCCGAGATGTCGGTGCGGATTGAATGCTGCGGTCGGAAGACGATGACGATGATGATGACGATGATGATGATGACGATGACGAAAAGGACGATGGCCACGTTCCGGCAAGGGGGGGGGGGGGCGATCTGCCGGTGGGAGGTGGGGGGGGGAAGTGGAGGGGGAGGTGGGGGGTGAGGTTTTTTGTAAAATCGCCAAATTCTGGGCACCAACCCTTTGGCCCAATTTGCCCGGTTTGCTTGACATCCTCGCCGGATCATCTTGACGAGTGTTATGTACACCTGCTGTACATTTGAAGTTTGTGTGTCTCTCTCTCTCTCCACGTGATAGGGGTCCTCCGGGTTTTCCCCTCCACATTTAGCAACCGTGTGTCTCTATTATTCAGATTATGTGGCTCCTATAAATGTCCACGTGATGACAAGCCGCTTCCGTTGAGCTATCATTTGTGGCCAGGTCGCTTCGGAAAATGAGCTAATAGCCCAGTGGGCCTTACCTGGTAAGATAAAAAAAAATGTTGAGTTTTATTTGTGTATAAGTGATTGGTTTTACCTTTTGTACACTTTGCACTTTGTTGGCAACAGCCCCCAGCCACCACCCAAGAGTTTGTCTGGTAGGATGGGGATGGTTTAGTTAATGTGTTTGTGTTTGGGTGATTTGTTTACCTTTCTTGTACTGTGCACTCCTATCGTGTTTATGTAATCGTCTGTTGTTGTAACGTTCTTACCCCGTGCCCCTTACTGGACACCTGTCAACAAAGAGCTTCATAGCTAATCGGATTCCGGTGTGCGGCGCGACGTCTCTCACGGTGCACGATGCCGTCCATGACGTCGTTGCTGTTCTGCCGCGCCGTCCCCGCCGCATCCGCGTCCTCCTCGTCCACGCTGTCCGTGCGCCGCCGCGTCGCACGGTACCTCTGCTCCTCCCTCCCGCTCTCCGACGACGCCGTTTTCATCGCCTGCATCGCCCGCTTCCAGCCGGCCATGCCGGGCCTCGCGGCCGCCTCCGCCTCCACCTCGCCCGCGGGCCTCTCCGCGTCGGTGGAGGACTCGCGTAGGCCGGAGGCGCTGGCCTCCTGCGGGGCGGCCGCGAAATCGACGACGTCCGGAGGAGCCTCCTCCTCCTCCTGCTGCGGCTGCTGCTGCTCCACCGTCAGGCCCGGGTTGCTCTTCCCGTTGGCCTCCTCGGCCTGGCGGCGGCGGCGGCGTCAGTTTCATCGGCGTCAACCTCCGCGGTCGTCGTGTGTACATGTGTGTGCGTGTGTGTACGTGTGTGTGCGTGTGTGTGCGTGTGTGTGCGTGTGTGTGCGTTGAACTTGTTTCACGCCGTACGTAGCCAGCCGTGCTGATTGGAGGTGCGGGGAAAGGACAACAAACTATAGGTCTCTGTGTGAGTCTATGAGTCTCTGTGTGAGTCTGTGTGTGTGTGTGTAAGTTGAACTTTTTTCGCACCGTACGTAGCCAACCGTGGTGATCGTATGTGCGGTAATGGACGGCGACCTGCGAACGCGTCGACCTCGCCGGTATTTGGCCTACTCATCCACACCGGTCACAGCTCTTAGGAGCGGTGGGAATTGCCACGCTGTACCACACGCCACACACGACCTGCGGACTGGCTAACTTGCCGTGGGCCCAATCGTACTGCCGGACGGACAGAGGCGGCAGGTTCAAGAAACCCACTCCCCCCCCCCCCCCTCGTTTCAACCGCCGCGCCGGAAGATGGAATCGAACCGCGAGCGGCCAATGAGACCGCTCACGATTTATCTAACCGGATAAGAGCACAGGTGGCATCATCGCACCGCCCCACTCCCCCACCCCCCCACCCCCCCAACCCACTGCCGACAGACTAACGGCCACTCGATAGGCCGGCGTTGCCCTCGCCTTGAGCCGCACAGGGAGAGCTGCCAGCGGGAGGACCCCCCACCCTGACACAAGCCTAGGGCGCATCGAGGCGCTCCGCATTGGGAGGCACGGAATGATGATGACGATGATGACGACGACAACGACAATGACGACGATGGCAATGACGACGACGATGATGATGACGATGATGACAATGACGATGATGACAATGACGACGATGATGATGACGATGATGACGACGATGACGACGATGACTACGATAACGACAATGATGACGACGATGATGACGATGATGATGACGATGATGATGATGACGACGACTACGATGACGATGATGATGACGATAATGACGATGATGACGATGATGATGACGACGATGATGACAATGATGACGACGATGATGACGACGATGATGACGACAATGACGACGACGATGACAATGATGACGACGATGATGACGATGACAATAACGACTATGATGACGACGACGATGACGACGATGACGACGATGACAATGACGACGATAACGGATCTGGCGCACCTTCGGCTGGCGCGAGGGGCTGTCCGTCCCAGGCACATTGGTGCGCTGCACGCTGCCGATGTCGGTGAGCCGGTGCTGGTAGTCGTCCCAGCGGCCGTACGCCAGGTCGATGCCGCCCAGGAAGGCCACGGTCTGGTCGATGACGACCAGCTTCTCGTGGTGCGCCCAGAAGAGCACCGTAGAGGACACGTGGTCGGGGTGGCGAAGCACCTGCACGCACGGAAGAGGGCGAGGGGGGGGGGGACGATGACGGGCAGCAGGGCGGACGTGGAGGTAGCGGTGGCAGCGTCGATATTGGCGATCGTCCTTCGTTGGCGTGACGATCGTCGTTGTCGTCACAGTTATCGCCATCGTAGACGTCGACATCGACATCATCATTGTCACTGTCGTCATCATCATCATCATCGTAGTCACAAGTGAGCAAGAAGCACCATCGGCGCCTCCACTGCCGCTTTCGTGGCGAGTGTCCACGGTGCACCAACTCCTGCGGCCCACGAAGGCCGGAGCGCAGAGAGGCCTTCACGACGGACGCCGCGGCGCGATCAGCAGAGGCGGGCGAGCGAGCGAGTGAGCGTGGCGGGGTGGGTGGAGGCCTTGCCTTAATGTTGGGGTGGAGTCCCATGAGCTTCTGTTTGCTGTAGTCGCTGTTTAGTCCAAGAGCCAAGCCTACCTCCTTGTAGAGCAGCACAAAGACCCTCACGCCGGCCTCCTGCACCACACGGACCGACGTTGACCATTCGTAAGAAGCGGGCCACGCCGTTCGGACGTCAGACAGACGTCAGAAACCGCCGCCGCCGACATCCGGGGTCAAGCCGCACGGCCACCCCCGGCGATTGTGCCGGGCCGTCGGGCGCAGCGAGTCGATGGGCTCATCGCGAGATTCAACACCGATCCGGGTGGAGTCCGATCGACCCACGGATTTGCGTAGCGACGCGTGGGCGGAGGGGGGGGGGACCCAGAGACCCACGGGCTCACAACCCCAATTCTCGGAGAAGCAAAACGAGATTATTGTTCCGCAACTTCAACGGTGAGTTGAGCTCGAGCGGGAGTTAGCGGGCGCGTCGTCAAAACGCTTGCGCGCCGCGTGGCAGCTCAATTTGGTTGGCCGCGTTGGGTGGTGGAGGGTTCTTACAACCCACACATTTGGGCAGATCCTTCCGCAGTGGCCTAACCCCCCCCCCCCTCCCCGAAGAGATACATCACGAATCGTGGGAACCGCGTAGGGACGGCGTCAATCAACGTTGCCATCCGACGACACTCACGGCTTTCCTCTTCAGCACCGAGTCGAGCCTCCAGTAGTTTCCCTCCACTGGCGGCCTCTTCAGGAATATCTCGGGACTCAGCCTGGAACGACGCGCGGGGGGGGGGGGGGGGCAGACCCAGGTGGCACCACCGTTAGGCGACAAGCAACCCACCGCCAATTGAGCGGTTTGATAAACGTGTTTACGGGGCGGTCCACCAGTCTGGAATCGTAGAGGAAAATAACGAATTCATATTTTGTTTGTTTCTGTAAGGAAGAAGGAGTCCAGATAATTCTACTCGTAGGAAATCGGAGTCGGAGGGAGGTCGCTGTTGAATTTCACAGACTGCATCCAGACCGCGAGCCAATAACATAGAGCTGTGTTTTTACTATGATTCCAGACTCATGGGAAACCCTGTATATTTATATCGCTTTAAAAAAAATCTCCCGTCATTCATGCAAAATGAAGATCACAGTGCCGTGGTCGTGACGTTCATGTGCACGGGGCCGCTGGGGGGGGGGGGGGGGGTAGGGGAGGCAAGGAGGACGGCGGCCAGAAGCGGCCACAACAATTGCCCAAGCTTTGTGGTCCTACGGTGGGGAATGGCTCGGCCACCTCCATGAATGGAACGTTTAGACAATGTCAATTGTCAGTGTAAATTGTAAGTGTAAATTGTCATTGTAAATTGGCAGTGTAAATTGGAAGTGTAAATTGGAAGTGTAAATTGGAAGTGTAAATTGGAAGTGTAAATTGGAAGTGTAAATTGGCACGCCGCAAGTTCCGTCTACGATCGGCGGGTCGTGCGTTGTGGGGTAACGTGTGGGTAACTCCCACGTTTTGCAAGGTGCCTGACCGGCGTGGAAGAGTAGGCCAAATACATACACCGCCCGAGCGGGGCTCTCGTGAGCTCGCACAGAGTGGAGGCCCTTCGTCATGCGGCAGTTGCTGGAGCAAGCAGTTGCAGGGGCTGCGCCTTTGCCCTCCGCGCGATTGCGGCGTTTGCCTTCACCCGTGTCCAGGTAGTGTGCCGGTCGGAGGGTCAGGTTGGGAGGGTTGGGTGGTGGGGCAGGGCGGTGGGGCCGGGTGGTGGGGCAGGATGGTGGGGCAGGATGGTGGGGCAGGATGGTGGGGCAGGGCGGTGGGGCCGGGTGGTGGGGCAGGATGGTGGGGCTGGATGGTGGGGCATGTGTGGTGGGGCATGTGTGGTGGGGCTGGATGGTGGGGCTGGATGGTGGGGCATGTGTGGTGGGGCATGTGTGGTGGGGCATGGTGGTGGGGCCGGGTGGAGGGGCAGGATGGTGGGGCCGGGTGGTGGGGCATGGTGGTGGGGCCGGGCTGTGAGCCGGGGGAGAATCGCGGAGGCACTCACCACCAGTCAGTGATGAAGATCTCCTCCTTGGCCTCCTCCAGGGCGTAAGCCATCTCCGTGAAATACTGAGAAGAGTTCACGAACCTACAAGAGACAACGATCACAGCCCGTACGGCCTTACCAGACTGTTGGGGCGAGAGCTTTTAGTGGAAGCCTATGAAGGCCGGCACGGCACACGAGGGGGTGGGTGGCCAGCTCCACACCCGGCCACCTTTGTCTCCCCAGTGCTAGCGATGTTTACACACCACACCAGGCACTTCATTTGAAGCCGAGTCGACCGAGGAGAAGAGGCCCAAGACCAGTTGAAATATTCGCCCCCTGTTATTGGTAGTGACCGGGAATCGAACTCGGGTCGCCGGGTTCGTAGCGCAGTGCGCCAACTGCTCACCCAACCAATATATACACACACACGGACTCGCATGCACCCCATACACACAACCATGGCCACACACACAGAGCCGTGCACACACGCGCACACACAAGGCAACAGCAGTCGCCGTTCGCCCCTTCGTGACGGTGATGCCACCGCGGCAGTTGCGCCAGGCTAGGTGCACTTATGAGGCCATCACGGGAAAGGTCGCAAGCTCGCTGGCAGGAGGTCGCAGGATACGGGCTGGCGTCGTGGGTTGACCGCTCCCCACTTGCCGAGTGTTAGCGGTGCGGCGCTCCGCTCGTTGTTGCGAGCATCACTCCGCCCTTCCCCCTTAATAATAATAATATAATTATAATACTCTCAGTTCTTTCGGTAAAGTCACGTAGGTAAAAAAAATTAAATTAAAATTAATAAAAATAAAATATTATTATTTTAATTTCATTTTTTTTTACCTACGTGACTTTACCGAAAGAACTGAGAGCATGAATCCTTGCAGTCACGAAAGCTTCAAATATAGAATATAATTATAATAATTAAAATGTATAATGCGCATTCCATCCTAGGATCCCAATGCGCAATGCATGAAAAGCAGTGAAATAAAAACGGAAGCAGGGGGCAACCGACCAAACTAGAGAGGCAAGGCCACTCTGGAGAGATGGGTTTTCAAAGGCAGACTTGAATATATCTACAAAATTTCGATTTAAAGCTGTCTTTCCGACAGACCTGTTCTTCACCTGCTTGTGTTGTGGCCGAAACGTCGTGAGAATTCAATTTCATTATGTTTTATTTTTATTATTTTATTATTTCCCTTCTATGTGACTTTACCGAAAGAACCAAGAAGATACGTCTACAATCTCCGATTGCCCGATTTCAAGTGGCGCGAGGCGGTACACGCCTTTGTGGTTTCCACGCTAACAAAAGCACCGAGCCACCGAGAGATGCGGAGGAGTTGCTCGAAATCCGACCGCCCTCCAAGACGGTGCGGGCGGTGACGACGGCGAGGACGCCGCAAGTGTCGCCAGCGGAGTGCCGCCAGCCGCTCCTCACCATCTGACGAGCGTCTTCTCCCTGACCGGAGCGAACGATTCAAATCGGTTGGGCTGCATGTAGTCCTTGCCGTGCGTCTCCGCAAACTGCTGCAGCGACTTCCCCCACCACATGGCGTGGCGGAACGTGGGGCACTTGATTGTCAGAGTCCTGCGGGGGGGTGGGGAGGTGGGGGGTGGGGGGGTCAGGGGGGCGGTTGGGGAGGTATCGAGGAAAGGGACGGGGAGGTTTTGAGGAACGCGGAGTGACACGAACATTGGCCAGGATTTATTTAACACTGGTCAACAAAAAAAAAATATTTTTTTTTGGCCTGGACTTTTGCAGCTGTTTTAGACTAATTTCAGGGTGTTGATTCCAAATCTGATCTCAGATTTGTGTTATCACATCTCATTTTGATGCTATCGGCATACCCCATTTTCATTGATTTTACCCGAAATTAACTCCGTCACTTATGATTGCAAGTTGTTGCGAGTCAGTGACTGCTTTAGTGTTAAAATATGGTGCTGTATTTTTAGGATAGTGTGTTTATAATATCATTTTATGTATATATCCACATTTATTTAAGATTTTTCTTCTGCAGTTTTTATTGAAAATGCAATATTTGATATCTCAAAAACCTTATGTGATGCCAGATTTGGAACCAGCACCCCAAAATTACCTTAAAAACGTTGGAATGCCTTATGCCAGAAATAGTGTGTTGACCAGTGTAATTTATCGAGCTTACTGAGAACAGCCCCCCCCCCAAGATCATATAAATCCAGTCAAAGATGAAGATCGCTAGCACAGCCTCAACAGACTGTTGGGGCAAGTGCTGTTAGCGAGTAGCAGCACCTATGAAGGCCGGCACAGCACACGAGGGGGTGATTGGCCAGCACCACGCCCGGCCGCCTTTGTCTCCCGAGTGCCCAAATTTACAAACTGCACCAGCTACTCATTTGAGGCCGAGTCGACCTAGGGGAGGCCCAGGACCGGTTCAGATAATCGCCACTGGTGTTGGTGGCCGTGAGCGGGAATCGAACTCGGGTCGCCAGGTTCGTAGCGCAGCAATACCGCTCGCCTGGGTAGTGAGACGCGGTGGTGCAGCCACACACACACACACCCCTACAGGATTACAAAACATGCTCCCCCACAACTCTTGCTTCAATCTGGAGGGTAGCGTAACAACACCTTTTCTTGAATGGAGCAAGATGAGAGGTTACTTGGAGAAACGGACGATGGGAGGGAGAGAGGGTTCCAGAGCAGAGCGATGCAAGGAGAGGAGCAGAGAGAGAAATGTTATGACCTGCATTGCGGTGAGTGGGTGGGTGAGTGGGTGGGTGGGTGGGTGAGTGGGTGGGTGGGTGAGTGGGTGAGTGAGTGAGTGGGTGGGTGGGTGGGTGAGTGAGTGGGTGGGTGGGTGGGTGAGTGGGTGGGTAGGTGAGTGAGTCGGTAGGTGAGTGAGTGAGTGGGTGGGTGAGTGGGTGGGTAGGTGAGTGAGTGGGTGGGTGGGTGAGTGAGTGAGTGAGTGGGTGGGTGGGTGAGTGGAAGGGTGGTTGAGTGGGTGGGTGGGTGAGTGGGTGAGTGAGTGAGTGGGTGGGTGGGTGGGTGAGTGAGTGAGTGGGTGGGTAAGTGGGTGGGTGAGTGGGTGGGTGAGTGAGTGTGTGCTGTTGTGATCTGCAGTGTGCTGTTGTGAGCACAGTGTGGATGAGGCCACTCGACAGCATCTGGTAGAACCGAGTCCTCAACACGAATGAGTGAAGCTCACAGGAACAGTAACCAATGGTGGTCGTAGTAACCAGTAACCGTGACGAACAAGAAATCATCTGGACTTGCCGAGGCCAGAACAGGACTTTCAAACAACCCATGCCAACCACACCGCACCAACAGACGGACAGGTGAGATGGGGTGAGGCAGGCGAGCGGGCGGGCGAGGGTCTCACCTGGTCAGGTTCTGGATGACGACGCCACTGCGCACCTCCGTGTGCTGTTGGCCGATCTTGACCACGAAATCCGAGTCGAAGAGCATCACCGATGAGATCTTCCCCTCGTCGAGCTTCATGTAGAGCACGAAGGAGTCCTTCACCGCCAGCCACCTACAGCACGCCACACCACCACAACCAGCGTCACCACCGGTCGGTCATCCCTCTTCTATGCATGTTTGGTGAACTTCTTTCGCACCATACGTAGCCAACCGCGCTAATCGGAGGTGCGGGGGTAGGACAACAAACTAAACGCAAAAAGTCGTTTAAAAGAAGTAACTTTTCAATCTCGCTCTTCCGTCAGACGTGATCCGCTCATCGTCAGACGTCCCCGTCTGGCCAGGATGGTCCCGGTGAGTTCATAGTGTGGCCGTGGTCAGAATTGGAATTCTAGATTTGAAGCTTTCGTGACTGCAAAGATTCATACTCGTAGTTTTTTCGGTAAAGTCACGTAGGTAAAAAATGAAATTAAAATTAATTAAAATAAAATAATTAAAATCACGACGTTTCGGAGGCAACACAAGTCTCCGTCATCAGGTGGGACCGTCACAGTCAGATTTGCTGCATCAAGTGAGGCAGGGATTCCAAGATGCAAGTTCTTAAATACAAGTTAAGGGGGAGCAGGGGGGGGGGAGCTTATCAGAATGTGGTAGCCAATGAATGGAACGTATTGGGAGGGGGGGGGGGGGGGCTAAAAGAGAGCACGAGGTTTACGTACCGTTTTGACCACCGGAAGCAGACCTCGCGCTTCCCACAGCAGTGCAAGCCGGGCATCTTGTAGCCGCCCGATCGCTTCTCAATGTAGCCCTCGCTGCAACAGATCAAATCATTACATCGGTGAGGATTTAACTCCGGATCCCACCCATAACAAGCCACCGTTCTAAGGCCATTCGCATAGAATCAGAATTAGTATATTTAATTATACTGGTGGAATCCAATGAGCTATTAAGCTCTTTTTCACAGATGTCCGGCATAGGTCTGGCCAAGCCCCCCAAACGTCCATTTTCTCTACCTGCCACCGGCACCACCAAAAGTTTTACCCAGCAGCCACCGCTGCAGGCGACGGTGACCAATTATTGTGCGGCTGCTTGGGGAGATCACGGGGTCACGAGAGGTGGTGTCGGCTTGGGGAGGAGGCCTTCATCCAGCAGTGGATTGACCACGGCCGACGATCATGATGACGATGGTGATGAAGCAACGCACGTATAAATGTAATCTCCTGCATCGGTGTCGTAATTGACCCAAGTGACTGAGCAAACAAAGAATACTCTGAAACTTTGCACCGAGGCTCCTGCAAGTTGGTTCTTAGGAGTCGTCACGTGAGCTCCATCATTGCTAGGGGCTGCCACCTGCTCCACTGGAGACCAAACCCAGACCGACACCTCACGCGGCACTGGGTCTATCATCAGAGCCACGTGGCAGACTCCTGCAACGAGATTCAACGCAACACCCACCGCTCGCAGATCAAATCGCTTCCATCAAACGCCCGAAACACAGACGCCAATTCCCGGACTGTTGGGGGTTCTCAAACCCGGGGACCGGCGGTCTCTTGCCGGAGATGTCAGCGAGATAAAACTCACATGCCCTTGGGGCCCAGGTCCGCGATGAAGGACAGACCGCTGACCTCCAAGAACTCCAGCTGCACCACCCAGGGAGAGGAGGCGAGAGAGAGAGACGCAGGTGAGAGAGTGGATTCAAACGCTGCGTAGAAACACTCCTTCGTGTAGTTGGCAGACAACATCCAAATGCAGGAACCATGAAAGATAGACAAAGATCCCCCATATAGCCTGAAAAGACTGTTGGGGCAAGTTCTGTCAGTGAGCACCTATAAAGGCCGGCACGGCACACGAGGGGGTGGCTGGCCAACACCACGCCTTTGTCTCTCCAGTGGCGATGTTTACACACCGCGCCAGGTACTCATTTGAGGCTGAGTCGACCTAGGGGAGGCCCATAACCGGTTCAGATAATCGTCACCGGCGTTGGCCGTGAGCGGGAATCGAACCCGGGTCACCAGGTTCGAAGAGCAGCGTAGCGCTTACCGCTCCCACACACAACAGGGCCGTCATACTCGTCTCCCCCACCCCCCTTCTCCACGTGCGCTGTGCCAGCCTTCATAGCACCACTCGCTAACAGCACTTGCCCAAACAGGCCGTATAACCTACACCAGGGGATCTTTTGTCTTTGGAGGAGCTGTAGCCGAGGGGGGAACACGCTCCCCTCGCCCCCCCCTCCTCCTCCACCCACGCCCCCCTCCCTTTGTAGTTCGGCGCCCTGAGCCCCTCCCCCTAGGCCCCTGGGCGCTGGCACCGCTTGCGCTCCGTAGCTCCGCGCCACCGTTTCACAGCCCGTCGCGCTAACAGCTCCGCTTGTGATTTCGGAGATGACATAAAGGGGCCCCTTATCTGTGGACATGCGTCTCCTCGCTCGAGTGTGAAAGGTTGGCCGCGTGATGTCAAGGTTGTTTGAGCCAAGTGTGTGTACGTGCGCGCGTGCGTGCGTGCGTGCGTGCGAGTAGATAGCATCGAGGCGTGGTTTAATCTGCTGGGTGGATGATTGGTTAATCCAAGACGATTCTGATACGAAACGGAAAATCCACCCAGACGTGGGTCAAGGTCAACAGATCGTCGTCGTCGTCATCTCAAATATTCTACAAACTCTTGAAAATATTCCACAGCGAGCGTTACTGCCCATGGACACGGCCGCTTCCTGGAATCAACGTTTCCCAGCAAACATTTGTGGAGCTGTCCTCACCCGCCCAGATGTTGCCTGCCAAATCGAATGCTGCTGCCAAGCCAGCGGCCCCACAAAGGCCACCCCCCCCCCCCCACATTAGGCAGGGCAGATTCCTCCAGCCTGTCTAAATAAAGATTCTAAATTCTGACAGCAGACGTTCACGGCGGCCTCGGGCGTTGCTGAACGAAGGGGCCAGGCCGTCGAACCGAGAGGGCGAACTGGCGGATGAGAACCACTCGCTGTAGTCCCTTACCGTGGCCGGGTGGTTCCTGTAGACGGGGTACTGCAACAGGCCGCTCAGGTAGTTCTCGATTTGTTTCTGGAGCACACGGAAGCGGACACGTCACGGGCACGGCCGCACGTGGCCACGTCTCGCCTAAAAACGTGCTTTCATTTTTTTTGGGATTTCATATATCTCATCATAAAAATAATAATTTATAATAAATTACACTTCAATAGTGCCTTTCACTCACCCGGAGGTCACAAGGCGCTGTATATATCTCATACAATACAGGGTGGTTAAAAAAAATGCTAACACTTATATGGGACTATCGTCGACTATCTGTAACATGATAACAAATCTTTGTTAATAGTTTCTAAAAGTCAAAGAGTCTCCACTTTTTCGCCATCATTCTGCTCTCCAGGCACATTTCTTGTGGCATCGTTGCAAATTCTCAAACACATCCACATTCTTGTGAAGCCCCCTGGGTACCCCGTGCGTGTTTTCACGTACGAGATGAATCTGCAGAGGGACTCCCGTCGCCGAGCGTGGGTGGCGTGGGCCCTTGGTGCGAGGATTTAAATGCCGCCCCCACCCACCCACCCACCCACGTCACATGACGTCATTCGACAAGTCGGGTCACGTGTGCCGGTCTCACGGTCCGAATTTGCCAAATCCGTCAATTACCGCATAGGCTGCACTCGCGCAGTTGCCCTGACTGTGTGAAGTCGCGCCGCAACATCGGCCCGGCGAGCTCCGGCCGGGAACCCACCCACCTTACGGCTGGACACGTAGTCCTCCCTCCTCGCGAACGGATCCTCTCGCCGCGTGCCCTCCAGGCGGCTCGGCAGCTCGGGGATCTTGGAGTCGGCGCCCTCCCGCTTCGGTTTCACCGTGCGGCGGCGCTCGAGGTGGCTGCGGGCGGGGAACGGCGGCGTCGGCGCGAGCGAGAGAGACGCCGGGCGGGTGCGCCGACGAGAGGGGGAAGACGCTGAGCTACGAGAAGCTACGAGAAGCTACGAGAAGCTACGCACGCGCGGATTGTTGTAACCGCCCCAACCCCGCCTCCTTGCCGTGACCGCCGCGGCGTTGGGTGGAGGGGCGCTCATCCAGCAGTGGATTGACGACTGGGCGAGGGGCGGTGCGCCGCTCGAGGTGACGTCGTTCAACTCGAGCACAGCTCGGGCGGCTCGTCGATTGGCCAGGCAGACCCGCTTGTCACAAAAACAAGCTCCCAAAAAAATACTCGCCCGCTTATTGTAAACATCATCACCTGCATCGTTTTTTGTAACCTCTATTTATGGATGATATTGGTCGCGAAGGCCTACGTGCTAAACTGATAATTTCTCTTCACTCCCACTGCTCCCCCAATCCCCCCCACCATCCCCCCCCCCCCCCATGCAGGCTTCTGTACCCCCACCAATTTATTAGAGCCACCGGCAGCCACCGCACTGCCTCCGACGAGAGCGTGCGCGATTAAACCTAAACAAACATCGTCACCGTCATCTACAGCGTCTCTCTCTGCTATGTGGCCTCGCGCGGGGGGTGGGGGGGGGTGGGGGGGGGGTGGGGGGGGGTGGGGGGGGGTGGGGGGGGGGGTGGGGGGGGTGGGGGGGGTGGGGGGGGTGGGGGGGGTGGGGGGGGTGGGGGGGGTGGGGGGGCATGTGGGGGGGCATGTGGGGGGGCATGTGGGGGGGCATGTGGGGGGGCACGTGGGGGGGGCATGTGGGGGGGCATGTGGGGGGGGGCACGTGGGGGGGCACGTGAGGGGGCACGTGGGGGGGGCACGTGAGGGGGTCACGTGGGGGGGGGGTCACGAGTCGGACCTGCGAGCGGGCTCCAGGATGCGATGCAGAGCGCGGTAGCGCTGCAGCTCGTGGTGGAGCTGCTGGAAGTCCTTGTACTTGCGCTTGATGTCCCAGGAGAAGTCGCCGTGGGAGAACCGCACCGTGTACATGTTGGCACGTTCCATCTGCAGCGCGCCGGCACGGGGGGGGGGGGCACAGAGGTCCGGTGAGAACGTGGGGCATGCGCGATCGGCCGCATCGGGTTCCCGTGTTACCGCGCTCCCGTTACCGCTCACGTTACCGCGCTCCCGTTAGCGCGCTCCCGAAGGGAAGTAATAAAATAATATCAATATTATTTTATTATTTCCCTTCTACGTGACTTTACCAAAAAAACCAAGAATATGAATCCCTGCAGTCACGAAAGCTTTAAGTCAAGACCATCTGAATGTGAAATTGTAGTCTTTTTGTTTGCTTGGCATCTACACATCAGCAGCAGCCGTACAAACAACGAGGAAGACTACGACGACGACCAGTGCGGTGACCAGCGTGGGTTGTTGTTGTTCAACAGAGAAAGAGAATAAAAGGAGGAGGAGGAGGGTTCCGAATCCGAGTCTGGCAGGGAGCCGACAGCATGGACGGCTGGCGGGGGGAGGGAGGAGAGTGAGATGAGGGGGGGGGTGTGAGGTGAGGGGGGGGGGAGCACCCGGACAGACCTTCTTGGAGTTCCCCGTCTTCTCCACCTCGGTGACGCGGACGCGGATGGGCGTCGAGTCCAGGAACACGTAGCCCTGGGCGCTCTTCACCTGACTCAGGTGGAAAACGGCGACGAAGGGGATCCTTCCTTCGACTGCGCGCCGCGCACAAAGACAAAGGCCCCTCCCGTCGCCGTGACTGCCGGTGACAAGTGCCGTTGGCGGAGTCTGAAGATTTCCGTTTGGTTTGCGCGCAATCTGAGGTTTCATGTTTTTTATGAGCCGTGGGAGTTAGACAAATTGGACGACGTGTAGGAAATCCACACAGAGCAGGCGGAAGGAGAAGAAGAGAGAGCGAGAGAGAGAGAGAGCGAGAGAGAGCGAGAGAGAGAGAGCTAACGTTACGACGGATCACATATCGGAATATTTATTGATGACTGGAGGAGGAATGTGATGGGCTATGAAGCTCTTTGTTTCAGAGATGTCTAGTCAGGGGTCACCGGGGTCAGAACGTTAAAACGACAAACGAGAGAGAGAAAAAAACTCGATAGGAGTGCAAAGTATAGGAAAGGTAAACAAATTACTTGAAAAATGCACAAACGAAACTACATCATCTTTTATCTTACCAGGTAGGGCCCACCGAGGTGTTTACTTAGTTTTCAGAAGCGACCCGGCCACAAATGACAGCTCAACAAAAGTGGCTTAATCACGTGGAAATTTACAGCAGCAAAACAATCAAAACAATCTCAATGCACGAAAAAAAAATCCACGGTGGAAAGAGAAAAAGGGAGGGTGGGAGGGAGACGCAAACTCCCAAAAAAACAGCAGCAGGGCGTCGTCAGGGGTTGGGATCGAACCCCCAACCTCCTTGCAAAGGGGGGCACCACGACCCGCCGCTCACCCGTCCGCCGGTGCGAGTCGGTCTCCTCGGTCGCTCCGAGCTCCTCCAGCTCCTCCACGCTCATCACCAGGTGGGCCATGCTCAGCGAGAGGCCGGGACTCGACGGTGGTGGGGGACCGGCGCCGCTGGCGTTGTCGCTCGCGCCGCCGGAGGCGTCCCGCGCTGCGTCGAGGGTGGCGTCGGCGCCGTTGGTCTGACGGGGCATGTCGGGCCCGGCGGAGTCACGGTCCCCTCCGGGACAGCAGCAGGAGGGCCTGCGCGGGGACACGGGGGGGCACGGAAGGAAGAGAGATTCCCCCGGGCGTAGAGTTTAGCGGACTGTCGGGAGAAGTGCTGACATCGGCGCTGTATCCCCAGCGCCGATGTTGTTTACACACCGCAACAGGCGCTCGCATTTGAAGGCCGAGTCGACCTAGGGGAGGGCCCAGGGCCGGTTCAAATATTCGATATTATTATTTGTCGCGAGCGGGAACTGATCTCGGCTCGCCAGGTTCGTGGTGCAGCCCGCCAATCGCTACGCTTCCACGTAGCACACGCACACACGTTGTACAGGTCACACACACGCACACACGTTGTACGCGTTACACAGGCCACACATACACACACACACGTTATACGCGTTACACAGGTCACACATACACACGCACACACGCACACACGTTGTACGCGTTAAACAGGTCACACACACGCACACATGTTGTACACGTTACACAGGTCACACACACACGCACACACGTTATACGCGTTACACAGGTCACACACACACATACACACGTACACACGTTATACGCGTTACACAGGTCACACACACACACACACACGCACGCATTCCCATGAAGCCAGATGATAGGGGCGCTGCCGTGGTTTAGTCAAGCAGCTTGGGCAAATAAAACCCGTGCCAAGCAATGCCGATCGTCGACAGGACCGCGGTGTGGGCCACGTGGCCACAGAGCCCCTTGCGTGCTCAGTCACTCAGCCGCGTGCGCGAGCCATCCGTGGTCATCACGGCCAAGGCCACTGCCAAACGCTGGCGTTCTAGCAACGCGTAGAATTCAATGCCCCCCGCGGTGTGAGGATGATCGACGGAGCCAACGAGTTGAACCCGGCCACTCGATCGGCCATCACTGCTGCTGTTTGATCACCGTTGCTATCGTTGGTGGTTTCTCGACAACATCCCGTGTTGAGGACTCGTTTCTGTACCAGACCATCACGCTACAGGTCACGACAACACACCGACTCACCACACTGCAGGTCATGACAACACAACAACACAAAAAGGCAAAGACCTCCCGGATAGCCTCAACATACTGTAGGGGCAAGTGCTGTTAGCGAGCACCAGGGGTGGGTGGCCAGCACCACGCCCGACCACCTTTGTCTCCCCACTAGCGATGCTTACTACGCACCCCACCACGTACTCATTTGAGGCCGAGTCGACCTAGGGAAGGCCCAGGACCGGTTCAGATAATAATCGTCACTGGTTTTGCCCGCGAGTAGGAATCGAACCTCGCGTCGCCAGGTTCGTAGCGCAGCGTAGCGCTGACCGACGACCCGAGTTTGCTTCCCGCTCGAGGCAGACATCAATGCTTCTTCACCGACCAGCACGGCGAAGCGTGTGGTCACGCACACGCCCCATGATCGACCTGGCACGGGGGCGTCGTTTTAATCCAGCAGAGAGTTAAAGAGGTTTTCGTCGTTATTAATTACCGTAGGCTTATCGGGTATTGGGGGCAAGCACCATGTTAGGGAGCACCTATGAAGGCCGATGCGACACGCGAGGATGCGATGTGGCCAACACCACCACGCTTCAGCCAACATCTCGCCGCGGTGGCGAGGTGTTAGCTACCTCGCCTGGTACGCAGGAGGTCGTGGGTTCGATTTAAAAAAAAATATTTAGAGTTTGTACGTTCTCCCCGTGGTCGCGTGGATTTTTCTCCGGGTCCTCCGCTTTTTCCCCTCCGCATTTAGAATAAACAACATCTCGCGTTGAGAGTATTTGGCTCGTGCTATAAATGTCCACGTGACAATCCACTTCATTGGGCGATCAGTTGTGGCCAAGTTCGTTCCTGAAAAAAACCCAGCTACGTAGCTCACAGTGGGCCTCACCTGGTAAAAAATAAAAATAGTTTATAGTTCAGCTTGGGGAGTGTCAAAGGCTTCGCTTTTCAAACCAGTTTACATCGCCACCGGCTCCGGCTGCCCATTGTCTATCCGCCTAAACGAGAGCGACTTACTGAGTACACGAGCCACACGGCTAATTGCCCGCGAGAGACGGCGTGCCACGTTTACCCCCCCCCCCCGCGTTTAACCATCCACCCCCCGCGTCAACCCATTCCCCCTAACCCCCCCGTGTTTAACTCTTCCCCTCCACTCCATTCCTGCACCATGCCAGCCACGTCAACCATGCCAAGCACGCCGGCCACACCGCCCCAATGGGCTTGGAACCCACTGCCTTACAAGTAGACCCACAGGCTGGTATCGTACCCACAATCTTACAAGTAGACCCACAGTCTTACAAGTAGACCCAGAGCCTTACAAGTAGACTCACAGCCTTACAAGTAGACCCACAGTCTTACACAGTAGACCCAGAGCCTTACACGTAGACCCACAGGCTTACAAGTAGACCCACAGTCTTACAAGTAGACCCACAGGCTTACAAGTAGACTCAGAGCCTTACAAGTAGACCCACAGTCTTACACGTAGACCCACAGGCTTACAAGTAGACCCACAGCCTTACACGTAGACCCACAGGCTGGTATCGTACCCACAGCCTTACAAGTAGACTCACAGCCTTACACGTAGACCCACAGTCTTACACGTAGACCCAGAGCCTTACACGTAGACCCACAGTCTTACAAGTAGACCCACAGTCTTACAAGTAGACCCACAGTCTTACAAGTAGACCCACAGTCTTACAAGTAGACCCACAGCCTTACAAGTAGACCCACAGCCTTACAAGTAGACCCACAGCCTTACAAGTAGACCCACAGTCTTACACGTAGACCCACAGCCTTACAAGTAGACCCACAGCCTTACAAGTAGACCCACAGTCTTACAAGTAGACCCACAGTCTTACAAGTAGACCCAGAGCCTTACACGTAGACCCACAGTCTTACAAGTAGACCCACAGTCTTACAAGTAGACCCACAGCCTTACAAGTAGACCCAGAGCCTTACACGTAGACCCACAGCCTTACAAGTAGACCCACAGTCTTACACGTAGACCCACAGCCTTACAAGTAGACCCACAGCCTTACAAGTAGACTCACAGCCTTACAAGTAGACCCAGAGTCTTACACGTAGACCCACAGTCTTACAAGTAGACCCACAGTCTTACAAGTAGACCCACAGCCTTACAAGTAGACCCAGAGCTTTACACGTAGACCCACAGCCTTACAAGTAGACCCACAGCCTTACAAGTAGACCCACAGCCTTACACGTAGACTCACAGGCTGGTATCGTACTCACAGCCTTACACGTAGACCCACAGCCTTACAAGTAGACCCACAGGCTGGTATCGTACTCACAGCCTTACAAGTAGACCCACAGCCTTACACGTAGACCCACAGCCTTACACGTAGACCCACAGCCTTACACGTAGACCCACAGCCTTACAAGTAGACCCACAGGCGGGCATCGTACCCACAGGCTAACATCCCCGGTGAACATATGGAACGTTAGGCCAATGTTGGCCCAAAAAATCGTCCAACAGTTTACCAGTTTTAAACCGCATGCCAACGCTGCCCCAACACTGCACCTTTACGTGGGATACGACCCACAGACTAACACAGAACCCACAAACTAACACAGAACCCATAGACTAACACAGAACCCACAGACTAACACAGAACCCACAGACTAACACAGAACCCACAGACTAACACAGAACCCAAAGACTAACACAGAAACCACAGACTAACACAGAACCCATAGACTAACACAGAACCCATAGACTAACACAGTACCCACAGACTAACACAGAACCCATAGACTAACACAGAACCCACAGACTAACACAGAACCCACAGACTAACATAGAACCCATAGACTAACACAGCACCCATAGACTAACACAGAACCCACAGACTAACACAGAACCCACAGACTAACACAGAACCCACAGACTAACACAGAACCCACAGACTAACACAGAACCCATAGACTAACACAGCACCCATAGACTAACACAAAACCCATAGACTAACACAGAACCCATAGACTGACACAAAACCCATAGACTAACACAGAACCCATAGACTAACACAGAACCCACAGACTAACACAGAACCCACAGACTAACACAGCACCCATAGACTAACACAGAACCCATAGACTAACACAGAACCCATAGACTAACACAGAACCCATAGACTAACACAGCACCCACTAGACTAACACACCAGACACCCACAGACTAACACAGAACCCATAGACTAACACAGAACCCATAGACTAACACAGAACCCACAGACTAACACAAAACCCATAGACTAACACAGAACCCATAGACTAACACAGCACCCACAGACTAACACAGAACCCATAGACTAACACAGAACCCATAGACTAACACAGAACCCATAGACTAACACAGAACCCATAGACTAACACAGAACCCATAGCCTAACACAGAACCCATAGACTAACACAGAACCCACAGACTAACACAGAACCCATAGACTAACACAGAACCCATAGACTAACATAGCACCCATAGACTAACACAGAACCCACAGACTAACACAGAACCCACAGACTAACACAGAACCCATGGACTAACACAGAACCCACAGACTAACACAGCACCCATAGACTAACACAGAACCCACAGACTAACACAGCACCCATAGACTAACACAGAACCCACAGACTAACACAGAACCCATAGACTAACACAGAACCCATAGACGAATGCAAACCCCCCAAGAGACCAGCACATGCCACCTGTGCTCTGCGCGTGAGAACTTCAAGTAGAGCAGGGTATTGATTATCGCTATAAAATACTGTTACCGTTCGGCTTATCCACACGCCGTGCTGACTGCATCGCACCCAACATTTACGGCCGGTGAATTCAACACTCGGGCTGACGCGCCGCGCGCGGTCAATAGCAGAGTGGGGCCGCCAGATCGATACCGGGGGGCACTCCTCACCCATCACCACCCACCATCCACCCACCCACCACCATCCACCCACCCACCACCATCCACCCATCCACCCACCACCATCCACCCACCCACCCACCCACCACCATCCACCCA